GTATAGTAAAATTATGTTTTAAGATATTAATTTATATATGTACTAGCATTGCCCGCGGCTCCGCCCGCGTTCAGATGACCAAAAACTAAATTCTTAGGTGTTACATATTAGTATACTCTTACATTGCAGTTTTTGTATTTTTCCTCAGAAATAAGATATTTTCCCGCGGTAAAAAGTATCCTAGGATCGCGCGCTACATCGCCCGGTTTATATAGCTTGAGCAGGCGGTCGAGCGATGCGGGGCAGAGGGGATGGACTCGCCGTAGGCATCTCAATGCTCGCCAAGCATTAAAAATGTTTCGCTACTAATTACTTCTAACAACGATATCTCAAAAACTATTCATCTGATTGATTTAGTGTAAAGAGCAATTTTAATCTGCATTAAATGACTAAGCTAACTAAAATATTCATTTGGATAAGGATTAATACCGAACTAAAGAAAATAACTTTGAAAATAACGTAATGTTTTTAATTAAAAATGTTAACATAAAAGTGGTTATTGTAAGTCAACCGTAAGAGATAGAGATATGCTATCGCGGACTTTTTTGTAGCATTTTTATAGATTTTGAATTCTCTAGTACATTACTTAACTGTATCTTTGCTAGTTTACGCGGCGTTCGCGTGGAAAGTTCCCATTTGGCGAGATTTTTTGCGACCTCTTCAACATTTGTCGCCGTATTTCAGCTAATTTACATAAAAGCATAATAAATTATATACCTAAACCTTCCTCAAGAATTACTCTTTCTATTGTTGAAAACCGTATAAAAATCCGTTCAGTAGTTTTCGAGTTTATCGCGTACAGACAGACAGGAGGACAGACAGGAGGACAGAAAGACGCGGCCGGGGGACTTATTTTTATAATAAGTATAGATATATAAAAAGGTTATATATATATATATATATATATATATATATATTATATAGCGCTAAAAATAGACAAGAATTTACTTGTGACTCAGATAACATTATCTTTTATACTTATGAAATAATGACATTGTTATACATGTGTTTGATAGAGATTATTGAAATTAAAAAAAATATTTACCTACATGACATACTTTAAAATAATGAAGATATCATTAAATTTTTTTTTCTAAAATTATTCAAATCAAGAAATCATTGTGTTTGTATAAAAACTTTTTAACAAAAAATAAAAACCGACTTCCAGGCACTAAAATGTAAAAATAATTAAACCGGAGGTTTTCATTTCGAATAGATACCTACTCAGATATTTTCGCAGTCGGTGCCAGCCGATGCAAAGCAAATCTAATATATTTCGATAAGTAAAATACATAATATTTACCTATTACATATTCATATCTTAAAATATTATAGGCTTTTATTTTTTTAAATAATAATTAATAAATATAATTTTCAATTTCCCTTTGGCCCTGGGGTCGGTCCCTGGGGAAGTAGAGTCAGCTTCTTTACTCTTCACTTGGGCAATTCCATTTCTATAGTATACTACAGTATTTTACACAAAAGTAAGCCGAAGTGTGTAGATGGCAAAGTTCAGCAAGGACTAAGTTCTGCGGGGAAACACAGAGTCCGTGCCGAGGGTTACGGGTGAAGACCTCAACGATGGAGAAGAACGGAGACAACAGTTGTCGGTACGATCCAACCAGCGGAGGGGGCAAAGGAGCGTAGTACAGGGATCCTGGTGGAGAGCAGCGGTAGCCACCAGTACTGTGAGGAAGCGCAAAAACCATATGTTCTGAATCGGGTCACTACCAGAATTCGACGACCATTAAGTCTGTAATACCGCGATGTAAAAAGGCAACGGGATGTTACTACATTATTTATTCCTACGAAAGTTGAACAATGATAAGGCAAGGCAATAGAAACGTAAATTTTCCTGATGATCCGCGTAGTGACCGGCGCTATGGGTGTTCCTGGACTCAAAGTTTGAAGTCGGTTATCGGCCGAGGGAATGTAGACAACTAGGTACCCCCAGGAAAACATGCGACTGAAAGACAACAACTCCAATTGCCCAAGAAGACACGTATAGGCACATGAAATGTACAAGGACTCCTCGATGAGTAAATTACACATCTTGGATCATGAGCTCCAGCGATGTGACACCATTATTAGTGGTTTAAACGAGACTCACTGGAGAAATAGTGGCCACCGAGACTTAGTTAAATATACTATCTTTTATAGGGATATTACGGATACGGATGGATGTGGTTTTGCTTAATAATGTAGGCAACTATGATATCGGCCATAGAGATATTCAAGGGGAGAGATTACACCAATTCGCAGTTGATAAGAATCTTACTATTACATTGTATACAGTACTCCACCAGCACCGCAGATGGCTGTATACATGGACGTCGCCTGATAAAAAACACAGGAATATAATTGACTATATATATTAGGTTGTGCCAAAAATGACGATATTTTTTTCTCATAAAATATCCCAACAAACCTCCTGTAAAAAGCGGAGCCGAAATTCCAATTCTAAGAGGGTCTCCATCGAATTTTTAGTTTTCCCATACAAATAACATGGAAAATAATATTTTTAATACTTTTTTGTCCTGCAAACTGTGACGAAAATATTTTTCAAAAAAATGAATGAATGGACCTTTTTTCGTAATTAATTTATCAAATATTATCTAAGTATATAATATTATCTAAATATATTATAAAGCCAGGGAACTTGAAGTTTGTTATGTTCTAATTGATTTGTTACCAACCCCATAAACTATTTTTATTTCTTGTATGCGTAGAATTTAATCTTACCCGGAAATTTCATAATAATTTTCAAAACGTTACTCTATACATCTATGTATATTAGGATACATTATGTTAAAAACCACACAAACCGCAAATAGTTCGTGGGATCGCTTTGCAAAATACCAATTAATAAGTGGGTTATAAATAAGTATAAATAGAATAAACGGGTAAAATCTTCGATCTACAGTAGAATTGTTGATCGAAGGGTAAAATACACTATGATATTTAATCTCATTACTTCTACTGGTTAGACCGTGATATGAACTTCTGTGCAGAATCGTAAATAAATTAAAAAAGTATTTTAATAGCTTTTTGAGAAAGTATAGAGTATATTATTATTTTTTGCGCAAGTGACAGTTTCTTAAACAGGATATCAAAAGACTTGCACATACTTTAGAAGTCACTAACACTTCATTCACCAACAATGCCGCGTTATTTGGGGCAAGTGAAAGTGTTCAAGGCCAAGTAGGTACTGTGATAATACTGAAGTCTTGCTATAAATTTCATTGATTTTATGCAAAAAAATATAAAAAACGTAAAATATTTTCAACACAATTGATAGACATCTCTGGCCTTAGTTCTTACACTTTCCAAATAAACATAAATGTTATAAGGAATTACCTGCATCTTATAAAGATCTATAATGTTAGGGATGTTAAAAAGCTTGTCTAATATAATTGGATTCTGAAAAATAATTACATATCGTTTCGCCCTTACGTTGCCCTCATGAAGTTTTAATATTATGGTTGTAAACAATTTAAATAACTTGAAGGCATAGAACTTATTCTGTAATTACGATAACGCCAACTATAATCTTTACATATATAAATAAAAACAAGTTTTCTATTTCATTAACACATTTCGGATAATTGTATAGTTAGTTTGTAGAGAATAAATAGAAGTTAGCCTCCAAAAAAATTAAAATATTCAAGTCAAATTGATAATCAATTTCGTTACAATGAGTCACTCGAAAGTGGCATTTAGATGTATGTATCTGTTGCACCCCCACCTTGCTCTACAATGAGTCACGCCATGAGGAAAAACCATAATATTTTGACACTGACTAACCGCTACTCTGTTACTGTTATTTACTGTACTTCAGCTTTAGCAGCCCGCTTAACGCTTTAATCAATATACTTTCGATATAATTTTAAACGTCCAATTTCGATTTGAGGTTCTATGGTAGCTCTATCTATGAAATAATGATGCCAATTTTAGATAAGCGATCAATTTACAGTCATAAAGTTGGTTCAAATTAGATTTAATACCATATTAAAGTCTTTACACAAGACTAATAACAAGTTCGGTCATGTTGGATTATGCCAAAAACACGGTATGGGTTGCCAAATGTGTAGTCTACGCTATTTATTTATAGCATAAACAGCCTTTTTAAAGAATTATTAGAAGAAATGGGGTTTAAGCTTAAACTTTCATATTTTTACACTGTAAAATTATTTATTCTTTCCCAATTTTCTCTAAATAAAGCCAAATTATATGTAAAAATACTACCTACTAAGTAATGTTGCTAATGTTTAAACTTTTTAATTATAAATTGCCAGTATTCTATAGCTTCATTTATGAAAATAATTTTATCAATTTTTAATTATAAATATATAATTTTCTTTTATTAATAATAATAGAAGTAATACTTATAATAAATCTGGTTAATAAGTGCAAATGAGAGCTTATATGTATTGTATAGCTTTAATAAAGCAGGTCAAAACATAGGTATTATAAAATCGAAATAATATCCTGTGGTGCTTGCTTGCTACGATATTGTGGCGGCTATTAAGGATAATGCATCGTACATATTTACTTGACAGTGACTCTTTCCTTCCTTATTCCTATAAATCTATTCTGGAACGTACAAAAGCAGGACAACTAGAAATTGCAAAGATTAAAGAAATTGCATAGTGTCAGCATCAGCCTTAACTCGGCCTCGTGCTTATAAACACCAATAAAATAACATGTGCTAGCTCTGGATTTGGTCACACGAAATTAATTTTCAATTAACACGAACCCATATAAGCACCATAACAGAAACAACCCATCGGCGTATTCTTACATTACCTAGTTACTACACATCCGTTTGTTTCGTCATTATTATTGCGTTCAATGTCGATGATTTGTTTTCATTGAATGCATTTTACGTCGAGGTCATTGAACTCCGAGCATGGACGCACTTACGCCCCCCCGCCTATACACCACCCCATGGAAATACCACGCTTTACCTTGTAAATCACTAATAAAACACTGGGACATACCCTCGCTTCCACAATCGGCACACACATTATTCCCGGGTTTCTTAAGTAACTCCTGTAGCAATTTCTCGTTATGGTCTACCATCGTGGAACTTTTGCATCAATAATGAAGATACACGCTTAGCGTACGTCGCCGCCCGAGAGTCGAACGCACGCCGAGAACACGTTCTTCGCTACTGCGCGAGGGAGCGAGTGAGACTTCGACCGACGCGACGCGGCGATTTGGTTCAACAAACGCTATTTCATACGTATAGGATTTTTTGTTTCATTCACATGTATTATTTTCGATTGAGTTAGATAGAGACGGAAGTACAGGTCTAGTTTCGGTATATGAATGAAATCAGTGAGTAGTGGATTACACGATATAGGCGTCTGTGCGATGTAGTGGATGTCTCGTAAAGTTTTAAATGTGTGTGTGTGGCGTAGTATATGATACGACGTAATACAAACGCCGTCGCCGTCTCGCGTAAAACTCTATGTAGGCATTTACCTACATCATTATACAAATTGCATAGGTACCAACACAATGAATACAAAAAATCTACTATAAATCTACTATAAATCTACTATACTTTATAGTAAAGTGTAGCGCGAGTAGTCTATCAATTACCGTTTTTCATATTTGATGGCTTCATTAAAATGTTATTGTGAATTTCATTGTAAATACTACTTCGTCGGGTGTTTTTTATCTGAATTTATAAAATTATCGCATAACGATAAAAAGAAATGTGTAGTTTATTGAGTTTTTGTTAAGTAAGGTTGCTCTTAGATGAAGCTGAATTTCCCACACCAATTTAGTTCATCAAGGAAATAAGGAGTCACATCCTATTATTTAATAAGCGATATTGTGTACGTATAGATTACTTAATTTAGAAAATTACAAAATAGAGAGCAATTATTTGTTTGTAATGTTCTTAAAAATCATTTTTTCTATAAAGCTGTAAACTCTACATTTATGAAAATATTGTATATATTTATATAAATTTGTTATAGCTGTAAAATCATATTTAGGGCTATTATCAGAATTTGATATTAGCCATCATACTGGTTCATTGCACGATGCGATTGCTTATTAACATTCTTAGGTATTATGTACCTATAAGTACGTATTATCATTGCTCGTGGGTAAGTAGCGTCCATTTTGCGGAATGCACTTGATATACAAAAAGTAAATATGTTACAATAATAGACTACTATGCCAAAAATTACACTCTGCTATTGAATGAATAAAAACATATAAGAAAAAAGTTTCTCTTGTTACAGTGTTCTCGAACAGATGAAGCGCATTGCTGGCTTCCTCCGCCTAGCAAGTCTTACATTTTTCCCATATCTCTACATACGTTAATATTATGATTTAGAAGATTATGTACATTTTGTAGCCTTTGCAGGCCAGAGGATATATTTTAGTTGTTATTAAGTTATTGTTTAATAATAATTTATCCATACAAATAATATTATAATGAGGTAATGTTTATATGTTGGAGATGATCTTTGAAACTTCTGATCGGATTCTGAAAATTCTACTAATAGGAAGCTACATTACAAACGCACCCGAGTGAAGAGAAGCGACGGTAATTCGCTTTTACTAAACAAAGTCATTTTAATTTATACTAAAAACGTGTTTATGGTATTTTTAATTTCAATAGAAGCCCTCTTGACTACTACTAGTTGGCTTTAAATTTTTGAGCAGTAGAAGTAACGTGTTTAGGTTCATTCAGTTGATTGTATGTTATACATATCACATATTTATACGTAAATTACATTGTGTTGTTGTGTTATACATATTTAAATGATGGAGTATGAAGATGGTTACTGGTTACAATCGGCTTTATTAATGAACCCATTGCATTTGAGGTCACTGTATATAGCCCAAGGTAGTTTAGTCAGGTTTCGAGGTATAGCACATATTGCATTGGACTAATAATGTAATCGTTAAAAAGAAGAGAATAGCGAATTCTCTACTAGGTATTACTTTTTATTTAATATCTAATATTTTTTTAATACCTATTAATAAATAAAATTATCTAAACCGTAACCGAGTACGTACGTTTAGAACAACTTACGTACTCAGAGGTCTTTGATGAATGAGATGTTCTTAACGATTGAGCGTTCTCACGACCAAGACTGGGAAAATGTACTATACAATAGCTTGGGACGTTTCTTTGGGAACCTTTTCTGTCACATGAACTTAGCCTATACTTACAATTTTACAATCAGTTATGTTGTTGTTCCCAGAGGAAAAAAGCATAATTTTGTCTATTCATAATTAATCTTTGTTATCTATATATTATCTTTTTGTTTTATTTTTTACTAGGGACTTACCCTGGCTTCGCTCGGGTGCGCCCCTACTAGGTATGTTTAACTTTTTTTGAGCGGAACCCTAATTAATTTTCTAAAATAAAAGTAGCCTAAGTTACTCATTATAACATCAGCTATCTGCCAGTGAAAGTCCCGTCAAAATCAATCCAGCCGTTTCGGAGATTGGCCGGAACAAACAGACAAATAAACAGATAGACAGTTTTTTTAAAAAAACTCTGTTTTTCTTATAAGTACCGTATATAATTTCATATGCATTAAGTAAAGAGCTGTTGTTTTGACATTACAAACAGACACTTCAATTGTATTTATCTGTATAGACGTGCTGGTATCTATGTATATCAGGAATAGATAAAAGTATGACTATGTGCTTTTATTCAAATAAAGAAGTTTTAATAATAATGAAATAGTAGTCACTTTATATCATTAATCTAGATTGGTATATGACTTGTAAAATAAACCAAGTTAATTTGTTGTGCCAAGTAAGGTGCAAAAGTGTAAAACAAAGTGAATGTAATGAAGACTAACGTATTCATCTTATTGATATCCTAGAATGACGATACAGGACTTTAAGCATTTTTGATGGTCATAATACGAAAGTATAACAAATAACCAAAACTTATTAAAGAGGACACAATGCTATAGGGAAAAATATGTTTGTGGAGGAATTAGCAAATAAAAAAAACTATCAGACCAAGCCGGTGCAGACCTGAGACCAATAGATAAAAGATACAAATAATGTTACAATGTAGATAATCTGTTTTTATAGATATTCATTTAAAAGATTTAGCAAGTCAAATTTCCAATTATTACCTACCTGCTACCTACTGTAACAGTTAGTTAAATCTTTAGTCTGCATTAACATTAATAACCACTAATCATAATCCACTCACTGTCATTATAATTTTAGATTTAATTTATTTAATCTATTGAAACTAACAATATAAAGCAGTCGTGGCCGAGCAGTTCACGAGAGAAATCAGATTACCTCTGGGAGTGTACGTTGGAATCCTACCGACGCGACTGCGAAAAGTTTACTACATATTTATATATTTGTCGCTAATCTTAATAGAATTGTCACGTTTACTATTATATTTTTAAACGATTACGACTAATGTATTCATCCCTCTTTAACGTCCACAGCTGGGCACGGGCCTCCCTTCATGGCGAGAGGGATCAGGCCGTAGTCCACCACGCTGGCCAAGTGCGGGTTGGCAGACTTCACATGTCTTTCGAAAACTTGTTAGGTTATCTCAGTCAGTCAGACAATGCAGGTTTCCTCACGACGTTTTCCTTCTCCGTAAGGCAAGTATTAATCATGTCGGAAATAATTCGCACATGAAAATATCAGAGTTGCGAACACCTGGGATTTGAACCCGCTTCACTCCAACGGTTTCCCAAGCGACCGAGTTACTACTGGGCTTATACTAATTAAAATATTGTATACTAGCAGAACCCGCGGCTTCGCTCGCGCTAAAATTACAAAAAGTCTCTGAAAATGTAGTTTCATACAAACTTTCATCCCTATTTTACCCCCTTAAAGGATGAATTTCTAAAAATGCTTAAACACTTATTTATATAATTTTATTGAAGAGCATTAATACCAAGTAATTCTGATCATAAAATTTTTTTTGGATTGTATTAAAACGTATTTTCCCGTGGGAATGAGATAATCTCCCGCGGTAAATAGTAGCCTATGTCACTCTTCAACCCCCTAAGTATCTCACAAGCATAAAAAATCAATCTATAACTTCGTTTCGACGTGAAAGAAGGACAAACAAACAAATAAACAAACAAACATACTTTCACATTTATAATTAGTATATATATACATAGATCTATTATATTAAAAAAACCTCTCTCTATTTAAAAAAAATAATTACTAGGTTTTATTTGTTTCATTATCCAAAATGTGTTATGCGAACGAACTTAACTACAAAATTCAAACGCTTCAAATGGAAAGCTCAATGAGGCTTTCAATATATGATGAAAACAATATATTGACTGTTTTCATTGATGGTTATCAACAATAACGCCTCTAGAAAAACAACTAATATTAGACATTGAAGCATTAGAGCCGTATTATATCATAATACTAAACCACTTGGGTGATGGTGGCCAGATTCCATTTATTTTGATTAAAAAGCTTTTAATTTAACGGCAGCTATGTTTTGTATACTACAATACTATCTACTGACTTATCTTATATATAAAATTTCCATGTCACAATGTTTGTAACCGTACTCCACCGAAACGGATTTACCGATTTTTACCAAATTTTATATGCGTATTCAGTAGGTCTGAGAATCGGCTACTATCTATTTTTCATACCCCTAAGTGATAAGGATAAGGGTGGTCCTCCCAGACCCCACCTCAGGGACGAACCCGAGCGGAGCGAGGGTGAGTCGCTAGTTTATTTATAAATTATAATGTATTTATAAAAACTACCATAAGACAATTCAATTTAATTCTCCTGTTGACTTTAGCCGCGCTAGTAGCCGTGCCAGAATCCATGCCATTTATTATTAAACTCAATTAGTACCCGGATGGGACAGGGAACTTAAAGAGAGGATATTATCAAGAGGAAGAGGAAGTCAAGGACAGGTGAGTATTCCATTGAAGCCAAATTCGCGCAAAGATTCACCTCTGACTGTAATTCTGGATTGTTATACAGGTGTACTAATATATCTATATGTACATGGTAGAGATAACGACTTTATAACAAAGAGGATAAGGGCTTTTGTAGAGAATCACATTCAACTAATTGTATCAGACTCTAGAAACGAGGGTGGCACAAAAACTGTAAGACTTTTTGACTAACCATATCAGATAAGCGATGTCGGCGGAATGGTTGCCAATACATCCCGCCGTGCCGCCCCCTCTACTGCAGGGGGTAGAGCGTACTCTACGCTGTAGCGTACTCGTTAGTAGACGTAATTTTTCACAGGTTCATTGCATAGTATGTAGGTGCAATGATATCTACTCGTATTATATTGAGCTTTATTTATTTTGAACCGATTTTAAAAAAGAGGATATACATATGTTAGGCTGGTAGTAGTCGGTAGTAGGATAGACTAGCCTTCTAATAGAGATAGATAATAGAGCTGTTGATAAGAACTCCTTATGGGATAGAAATACATCAAATGTAATTTAAGATATATATCTGTTAGTGCTATGATTGGTGATTGCAATTCAGCAAAATTATTGTACTGAAGAATAACAAAAATAAAAACTAAAAAAAAAACCGACTTCCAGGCAATAAAATGTAAAAAATAACTGAACGGAGGTTTTCATTTTGAATAGATACCTAATCAGATATTTTCGAAGTCGGTGTTAGCCTTTTTCCGCCGCCAGATGTCGAGTTCACTATGGCCCTCAGAATATTGTAAATCTAGAGATTTATAGTGTGGATGGACTTTTTTGTATTTTAAATTTAATTAAAATAAAATATTGTGCAGTGCCAGGATGCAATGAGAATGCATATAATTTGTTCTCAAAAGACAAAAACTGAAGAAGTTTTGGACTAAAGCAATAAGACGACCAAAATTTTTGAAATCACAATTTTTATATTAAAGGCTATGTGGATATCATTTTAAAGAAAGTCATTTTAGAACTCTTAAATCGTCTACAAGATGATTATTTTTGTTTATATTTTGTACTTTTTTACATATTAATTACAGTTTCATATAAACTTTCATCCCCTATTTTACCCCCTTATGGACTTGAATTTCAAAAAATACTAAAACATGTATTTATTTATTTATATTGAAGTGCATTAATACCAAGTTTCAAGTAATTCTGATCATAAATAAATCTTTGCCTATATAAACTTTATTACCCCCTCTTGCCACTTTAAACCTCGACTGAATGTAAATAGGCCAAACGTGTGACGCCCTCCTATCGAGAAATCTTCACCATTCTTATACAAAAGTACCTTATAGAACTATTTAAAAACTGTAAAATCTCACTAACGTGCATGTCAAGCTAACATACCCGAGTGAACCTAATGTCTAGCGTCAACTAGGTCGCCGAATCGAGGCAAATCGAACCACAGAAATTCGCCCCCTATATATTTACTATGAAACTGCGTCCATTAGCGACGAGTTGCGACGCGCAGAACCATGTTGCCATAATCGAGCGCATTGCTCGTCCGACGAATTTCTTCGGCGACGCGTTTTGACTCGATTCGGCTCGCCTTAATCGCACCGGCGAGTTTTTTTGTATTTCACTTAAAGAGTACCTATGTTTCGTGAAAAAGAAATATAATTAACTATTATATCATATTTTATTATATAATTATACTATTATACTGTATACTAGAGATTTATCTCTGCTTCGCTCGGGTTCATCTTTATAGTTACTTTTTTATTTTTTTTAGGAGAACCCTAATTCTTTTTCTAAAATAAAAGTAGCTTAAGTTATTCATAATAACATCAGCTATCTGCCAATGAAAGTCCTGTTAAAATCTGTCCAGCGGTTTTGGAGATTAGCCAGAACAAACAGACAGACAAAAAAAATATTAAAGTTGCGTTTTTCTTATACGTACCTTCTCCGAACAATAATACTACTAGATAACGTGTCACATACAAAACAAAAGCTAAATTCTGTCCGTGCGAATATGTATATATGTGTGTGTGTGCTTATACAGCTACATTTTTATACTAACGAACCAAGACAAAATCTTATAATATATGACTATATATACTCTGAAATGAACGCACAAGGAATAAAATGCGACTCGAGTCGACTCGTCTCGATTCGACTTGTTTCGGCTGTAGTCGACGCCAGACTTAATACTACTTTAGTGAATCTGTGATTGTTGTAAATGACATTTAATTGACATCTGACATGTGACAGCAACATCGAGTTGAGGTTTGTTTCGGCGTTGCTTTTTGTATATTAATAATTGTAATCCAAGATAAAAATATCTTGGAATAATATTTTCAATGTAAATGTATTTTATAGGAATGAGAAAAGGATAAAAATCATTTACAAAGATGGGTCGCCGATCAATTAATACCACCAAGAGTGGTAAATATATGAACCCTACTGATCAAGCACGTAAGTACTTCTTTTTATATTGACAAAATAGAATCAGTTATCTTTGTATCTCTCTTTATTTTTATACAATTTAAATTTTCACAGGCAAAGAAGCAAGGAAGAAAGAATTAAAGAAGAATAAAAGACAGAGACAAATGGTAAGAGCGGCTGTACTGAAAATGAAAGATCCTACTCAAATCTTAGAAGAACTACAAAAAATTGACGAAATGGGTGTGTTTATTGATTAATGTTGTACATGTACATATTCTTCAATTTATATACAAAATAGTGCTCGTTTAAGTTTAATAAGTTATTTCTGGAGTTTACCCAGGTTAACACATTTATTTATGATTTCTCTATACAATATTACTTTCATAGCAAAATAAAGTAACTATATTTTATCAACAAATTTAAGAAAAAGAAATATCTGCATTGCCACACATGGTTGTATGCTGTCTCTAAAGACTTCAACTTGTCTTGTGCTATGACAGTACAATATTGGTTTTTTACTTGCTACTATATAAAATAAGGAGATTAAAGTGCACTTTGTATTTAGAAATATGATTTAATTTCAGAGTACAATGTGTTACAACCATCACCACTTAATGAAAAAGTTTTGAAAGAGAAAAGGAAGAAGCTAAGAGAAACATTTGATAGAGTCTTGAAGATGTATGTAAGTATAATGGATTTAGACTTGCAAATGTTTAATAACAATTAAGAGAGCTTAATTGTATTACACAAATATAATATTGTATTATTGGATTACACAATTAAAGGAGCTTAATTGTTGTACGCTTGTATAGACAAAACATATAAAGATTATTTTATACACAACCCAAATATATTATGAATATGAACAATGAACATAAAGTATAATAGAAACTACTTTTTTATTTTTCTGATACTTTGAGTTGAGTTTTGTTGAGAGAGGCATCTTTGAGTCCCCCAACGTGCATTCACCTTGTCGTGGTGGGGGGGCTCAGTAGTGCCCAGCAATCCAACCGGGTGCGAAGCCGAGACACGCACAGGGAGGTGGCCCACTTTGGTGGGCGATGGGAGGTGGCCCTCTTCGGTGGGCGGTGTACCATGCGTGTTTCTCCTGGTACTTCTCTGATAACAGAGTGGACCTTGGAGCAACCCCATGGTTATGGTGGTCTGCTTCGGCAGACCTGCCGTCGGGGCGTCGTAGTTGAATGCGTAAGCGATCCTGTGACGCCCCATTAAGACGGGGGAAGGTTTTGTTGGGTTTTAGTGGGTAGTACTGGCTTTATTACGCCAGTGAGTCCCACACCTCGTGCGTAAATGCATTTCCCAACGTTAAAAAAAGGCATTTTTGAGTGCATATAAAAATCATAAATCAAAATTACATAGTTTGCAAATTTGATTTTCATGTCTGCATGTTTGTTAATTATCATAATTGAGTGTACTATTGTTTATTACAGGATAAGGATGATCCAGAAAAATGGGTAGAACTGAAGCGTCAAGAAATGGAGTATGAGAAAAGGAGAGCCCATTTAATTTCTTATTATGAATCTGTAAAGCATGCCCAATCTGTACAAGTGGACGATATACCTTTGCCTACATTACAAGTATGGTCTAATATTCATTTATCATGTCAGGGAAAATATTTTTAAATAACATGCCTATTTATGTGTATATATAGTGAACTTCATTGGTAGTGTAGTGGCTAGCATGTATGGCTGCACATTCGAAGGTCCTGGGTTGGGCCAAGTTTAGTTATTGAGTCTTTCTGCTTAGTAAGCAGGAACAGCCCGGAGTTGGAGAGTTGGTGATGTTTCACCCCCGTGCCTCGCAGAGCACGTATAGCCACCAGTCTTGCGCTTTAATTCTCACTGGTCATGTGGAATAGTCGTCCCACGGGAGTATGACAGTGACCTGTCATTAGTGATAGGTCAATGTCATACTCCCGTGGTGTGGAGAGTACTTGTGCAATTTAAAATCTCCTAGCACAGAAGGCTAGTCTCAATGAGATTAACCGCCGTGACCGAAATCGTTTGGGAGGAGGACACATATATTAGTGAAGACCTTTGAAAAAATGTACATAAAATGTCGTTTTCATTATTTCAGGTGCCTGATAATTTAATATATGGTAATGTACCATCTCAAATTCCACTGCCAATGGACACTGTACATCCTAACTTACCAGTAAGACCAATTTTGAAGAAGGATTCAGTATACAGAGTAAGAATATTTATCAGTTTTATATTACTTAAAATATATCTTTCCACAAAGTATCTGTTCATATAATTCTATAGTTCCAAAGGGATAAAACAAAAAGAGCAACCTTTAAACACAACTTTAAATTAAAAAAAAAAATTACTGACTTGATCTTGTTATATTTCATCATGGGCTCAGACATACATATTAAGATATTAAATTTAGCATGTATTAGACAGACTAGCAACTCTCCCTCGTTCCGCTCGGGTTCGTCCCTAGTTACGTTTTAACGTCTAGTACTGATTTCAAAGAGATAAGATATTTTCCTGCAGTAAAAAGTATCCTATATATTAACCAGGATAACCATCTATCATCATACAAAATTTTATCAAAATCTGTACAGTGCTTTTCTCGTGATGCATCCCCGGACAGAAATTCTAAAAAAAAGGCAAAAGTTCTAAAAACAATAGATTCGGCCTCTATATCAATAATAATGACTATTTGAATAAGATTTTCCAAGCAACATTTAATGTACAGATTCGACTCAGTTAAAATTTAATTATATGTATAGATAGTTTTTGTAAATTTTAACCAAATAATACAAATTCTCTCATAATTAATTTATAATTGGTTCACTATCATATTTTCTGTACACTAAGTACAAAATCTGTTGGTTATATACTAGAACCATATTTTCCACCTTTTAGGAAAGGCCTACAGGAATTGAACCACCTGGTGTACCTCCAGGGCATCCACCTGATTTTGAATTTTTGCTTATAGAAGCTTTTACACTTGATAAAACTCGTAAGGAGAAAAAGAGTCTACGTTTCTCTGATCTCGCAGAGGAGCCACCTGGAGAATGTGTAAGTATATTTCAATTTTTTTTTTAATTAATAAAAATAAAAAGCAAATATGGAAAATTTGTGTATCAACACTTGATACACAAATCCTATTTTTTTTAAATAGTATGGTAGATTAGGTCATTGTTTACTACAGATTGCTATACAGATACTGCTCTTAATATTTATTAAAGATTTGCGTTTCTGCTAAAGCTTTAGCTAAAGTAAGATGGCGGAATTTTTAAATAATTTTTTAATATTTATCTCAAGACAGGAATAATGATTTTTAAGTTTATAATGTTGTGTCATATCATATGACATTAAAATAAGCAAAATAAGAATTCATACAGGTACACAATATTCAAAACCGTCACCAACCCATGGAAGACTTGGACGGTGAAGTGATGGATGATGATCAGCCTCCCTCACCACAAACAATGGCTCAAGTGGCCCCCACTCCCAAGCCAACGTCCCTCCAACAAAGAATGTTAGCACTCTCCGGCCAAAATATAGATGACTTCATGAAAGAGATGGAAGAAGTGCATAGAAAGCGAGAGCGCGATAGAGCTGCGGATTTGAATGCAAGGTAATTTGATTATTTTTTTACTGCCTCGGAGGTGTAGTGGCTAGCTGCACATACGGAGCGACTAGGTCCGAGTCCCGGGTCGGGCCAAGTTTAGTTATTAAGTGATAGGAATAGAGAGTGCACGTTGTGTCTGCGCTCTCTCTCACACACGCGCTGCACTATAATATCTCCTGCAGAAGGTTCAAGTTAGCAAGCATAACTTGCTGCATGGATATCATAGGAAAAGTAATATATTTAAGTAGAAATTAAAATTTTTGTACCCCTTTGAAAGATTTTCTTTCATCTTTCCTTCTTTTCCTTTTTTCATCTTTTTGATCTTTTGAAATGGTACAAAATTATTTACATTATTTGATGTTACTATTTTGTGTATGTATGAATTAATGTTTATATTTTTATCATAACAAAAGTAATAAACTAAACAATTATAATAATAAAAAAAACAAATTATATGATTAAACCTGGTACAGATAGAACTTGAGTTAATGCGGCCTTTTAGACGCCAATTCTAATAATATTTAGTCTAGATATTATCTTTCATATTGTCCCAAATTAAAATGATATTTTATATAATACACTATACTGTAATTAAATTATCTTTTCACATGTAAGGCTAACAGCATTGAAACGTACTGGGCGGGACAGCGACTCGGACAGCGACGCGGAGCACGACCACCACAACCTCCACGACTTCGCGCTAGAGCCGCCCGGCGCTGAGATACGACAGATGCCTCCGCCATTGTTACCACCAGGTTATTGTTTTATCTAATGACTTTATAAAGCGACCCTCTACAACGTCACAAACTCACAAACTTTACCTCTGTATAATAATAGTATAGACTTATAAAATAAATAAAAATAGCCTTTATTCTCTGACCAGTAAAACTTCCTTATGACTAATAAATTACTTAATATTTCATCGAGGTCGTCTTTCGATGTAGGCGTCGTCTAGCTTACACCACTTGACACAATCTTGGGAAGAGCGACCCTCGGTTTATTCGGGTGCATTCCTAGGTACGTTTTAATTTTTTTGAGCGATACCCGAATTCTTTATCTTAATTAAAAATAGTCTATGTTACTCCTTTTAACATCAGTTATATGCCAGTAAAGATCCCGTTAAAATCAGTCGTGTTTTTCTTATAAGTACCACATATAATTTCTTATTTCTTAATTTCATATTTAGTTAAAGGCTGTTATTTTGATATTACAAACAGACTCTTCAATTTTATTTATTTGTAAACATACGTCATTGTATTTACATTAGCAACTTATCCTTGCTTTTTGTATTTTTAACCGACTTCCAATTCCAAAAAGGAGGAGGTTCTCAATTCGTCGGAATCTTTTTTTTATTTATGTTCACCGATTACTCGAAGACGCCTGAACCGATTTGGAAATATTTTTTTGTTTCAAAGGCTATACTTCCTAGGTGGTCCCATATAAATTTTATCGAAACCGGTCGAGTGGTTTTTAAAAAAATCATCAGTAAATATTTTTTTTAAATAAATTGTTTAATCGAATATGTTATTAAAAAACTTTCTTCTTACAAATTACCTGCTTATTACGTCTACACTAAAAATGGAAAAATAAAAACTTTTTAACAAAAAATAACTAAACGGAGGTTATATAGTACTTTCTTAGGTTTACGCGAATGTTTGACATTATTAAATAAAACTATCTTTTCGGATTATTTCGCGGATTTATTTTCATTTAGAATAGATACTAATCATATATTTTTCGAAGTCTACAATATTTTAAGATATGAATATCTAATAGGTAAATATGTATTTTACGTATCGAAATATATTACATTTCCTTTGCATCGGCTGGCACCGACTTCGGACTTTTATACGGAAGTCTGTTTTTATTTTTTGTTAATTTTTTTTTATTAATATATATAGAAGATAGCGTCATCTATTTGCATCTTTTATTACTTACAGTCAGTGCCGAATTCAACCTTAGTGTTGCCCTATTATCGAGATTTTGCTTAAAATGGATAAAGTTTTGATAAAGTTTAATTTTGTTTTGGTTATTAATTTTTCGTAAAATGCAAAAAAATGTTTTATGTTTTCAATATTTCGAAAAAATGTAGTAGTAAATTTTTTATAAAAGGAAAATACTAAAAGAATTTTCGATAGTATTAAGATAATTTTTTTGCACCATCTGAATCTTGCCGCCCCCGAAAATTTGCCGTCCTGGGCCCTAGCCCCGCGTGCTCCTAGTGTAAACCCAGCGCTGCAGTTACTGTTACTGTAGTGCCTATGTGTTTCTTCAGATCATAATCTACCTGTATCTATCTGTATACTAAATTAGCGACTCACCCTCGCTTCGCTCGGGCTCAGTACGTTTTAATTTTTTTAAGCGGAACTCTAATTCTTTTACTAAAATAAAAGTAGCTTATGTTACTCCCTATAACATTAGCTATCTTTCAGTGAAAGTCTTGTCAAAATCAGTCCAACCGTTTCAGAGATTATCCGGAACAAACAGACAGATAGACAAAAATTAAATAAAATGGTTTTTCTTATAAAGTACCGTATATAATCTCATATTCATTTAGTAAAATGCTGTTATTTGGACATTATAAACAGAAACTTATTTATCTGTATAGATTAAATCCAGCCGTGCCTTGGTCCAAGTCGATTCTTTCTCGTAAAACAAAAAAATAATAATGAAAAGAACAACTGATTTTCTTTGCGTGGTCACCCAAGGTGGGTCTTGCATGCTCTCTTTTATTGCTTGCATAAAAATATATATTTAAAAGTGACTGGCATTCGTTTAGTATGAGCTTGGGGTCTCATCACGAACAAAGAAAAAATAGTTCAAATAAATGTCAATAGATGACGTTACATACAGTATCGATTTGTTATTAATCCCTTTTAAAACTACCATATGTACGTCATGGTGTTTAACGATAACATATTAGTACGATAACGATAACGATATCAGTGCCTCTTACGGTTGTTGACGTAACTATTTTACGATATGATCACTAATGCTTCATCAGAATTAGTCGTGCGTTTAGCTGTTTATATCATCAAATGCTGATTATTCATTGATAAGGCTTAACTACATCTTTGTATATTAGAAAATAATGTTAAATATATGTTTTAAAAAAGCGATACACAGTAAAATAATAAACTATCCGTATTAATATTATAAATGTGAAAGTTTGTGAGTATGGATGTTTGTTACTCTTTCACGCCTGTACGGCTAAAACGGATCTAGATGAAATTTGACACAGAGATAGATTATAGTCTGGAATAACACATGGCTGGCTTTTTATCCCAGAAAAATGTACGGTTCCCATGGGAAAGGTTTGTTTCTATTTTCCTAAAGACGAACCCGAGCGAAACGAGTGCGAGCCGCTAGTATTTAATAAATATGAATACTTGCAAAATTATAAGATTAAACGACTATAAATGTAAAAATTTGTTGTTAAAGTTATGTTGTAAAATTATTGTTAAACAAGTGTATTTCTGATGTTGTTTTTAGATTTTGGCTTCGTCGTAATGGTTAACTAAATAAATAAATATGTTGGGACATTAACAAGCATCACCATCTAGTTCCATGGTAACCTACGAGGCTTGTGTTATGGATACCAGATGGTTAATACACTACACATATATAACTTTAAATATATATATATATATATATATATATATATATATATATATATATATATATATATATATAATATAAACACCCATGATTGGAGCACAAACCTTAGCGCTCATCCCACAAATGAATGTTCACAGCGGGACTCGAACCCACGACCGCTGGCACAGCAAGTAGGGTCACTACAAACTGAGCCAAACGTGTCGTCACTACTACTAGATGTTAATTAGATGTGTAATTACTTCTTTACCAAGGTCTCCGACCACCAATGCTTCGTCCGCCCGGTGCACCCCCGGGAGCTCCCCCTGGGGCTCCCCCGGGCGCTCCCCCTGGCGTGCCCCCCGGCCTCCCTCCAGGACCCCCCGGACCTCCCCCCATGCCGGGACATGGACCGCATGGACCAGGTAATACTTTTTGAGATTAAATTATCTTAACTAATCGTATCGCAAAAAGTTAAAGAGGTAATTAAGTTGGCTGCATGTTTTTGTTTGTTACGAAATCGATTTTCTAACCAGTAAAAAACCGCGTAAGTCGCTAATAATACATATTTAAAAACAAAACTTAAATCATCTAGCTGACGTAACTTATGATAGTGTAAAAACTTATGACGGTATCAAACAAACGTACCTAATAAAGGAAAAACACATTTTTTACCGCCATTGTTTATTATTACAGAAATAAAATATCTTAACTAAACCTGCTTCGAAATTACCAAAAAAAGTCAAGTTTTGATATTTTTATCTTTACAGACTTTTATTACAGCTTTTGATTTATATTTATTAAAATTACATTTTTCAACCCGACGTCAAACAAATGCTGTCAGTCAGTGACGGTCAAACAGTTGGAATAAATAAGTTCTCCATCTGCACTACTGTTATAAACAGGAAAGATTTGTATCTTTGTATGTTTGTAACGAATAAACTCAAAAACTACTGGACCGATTTAGATGAAATTTGGTAAGAAGATAGTTTGAGACCCTAGGAAGGATATAGGATATTTTTTATTCCGGAAATTATCCCATAAGGGGGTAAAAATGGGGATGAAAGTTTATATGGGGAATCAACCTAGGGACGAACCCGAGCGAAGCGAGGGTGAGTAGTAGTAGTAGTAGCTAGTTATAATTCCGAAACAATATTTTATATATAACTAGCGATTTGCGCTCAGGGTCGTGTCTGGCGTCGTCGTCTCAGTTGTCATTTGTACAAATTGGTACCTATTAAATTTTACTTTAAAAAAACCCGTGAAAATGCATTTTATATACGCATAATATAAATCTTAAAAAATTCTTGTTGTTGGACAAAAGTTCTACTGTGAAGTACGAGTCTAATGCCCGATTTCACCAACAGTTTCTGTTTTACCGACAGTTAGGGGTCACCTAAATATTAAAAGGCCTCCTAAATTTAGGTGCTCGAATTATGGGCTTAAAGACGATCGTAAAACGAAATTTAACTTAGGGGCTAGTGTAGGGGACTTTTAAGCTAGGGATCCCATACGTAGGTGGTAGCTTATGGGTTGTTGGTGAAATCGGGCATTAGTCGTTTAATAAATAGGCACTAAGGCGACGAATAGTTTATGTTGCTACTTTAGGTAATAGTCTTCATACAAATTCGTCCCACCGTTCCCACATGAAGGAGTAACAACATACATACACTAATACTAACGTTCGCATTTATGTGGTGGTATTATGTATTACGTTTTAATTTTTTTGAGCGGAACCCTAATTCTTTTTCTAAAATAAAAGTAGCCTATGTTCATCCCTCTAACATCAGCTATCTTCCAGTAAGAGTTCCGTTAACATCAGTCCAGCCGTTTCAGAGATTATCCGGAACAAACAGACAGACAGACAAAATTTTTAAAGAATGTGTTTTTTTTAAAGTACCGTATATAATGTCTATGCATTTAGTATACATTACAAACAGACACTTCAATTTTATTTATCTGTATAGATGTGGTATAGTTATGGTGTGTGGTTATAATTTTCCATATAACTGTAGCGCCTGGTATGCCACCTGGTCCCCCGCCAGGGCTTCCGTCGCGCGGGGGCCTGCGCCCGCCGGGCCCCCCGCCGGGCGCGCCGCCCCGCCTTCTGCGGCCGCTGGTGCCCCCGCCCCCGCCCCACGTGTCCGTGCTGACGGCTGCACCGCAACTCATATCCAAGAAGGATTCTGCTCAAGGTATACTAGAGATTACATATTTTGTATTTGTAAATGACCTTTATAAACCTTTGTGATTTGAAAATAGCTCAACTAAAGTAAAAAGTTTTGTGCATTTTAAATAAAACTAAGTTTTCGGATTTTTTCGCTAATTAATTTTGATTTTTGGGTCCATTTGGGTTTCGAATGCTTTACAGCAATCATGGTCACGGGAGAGACTAAGGTGTTAGGTATCTCAAAGATATTATATAGTTGTTACAGACAGCCTACCCACAAATAAGAAAATGAATTCAAAAAATTTAAAAGTGGCACCAAAGTACCTTACAATATTTGTTAATTTAATTTAAAAACATTTTTATATCATTTTAATTATTTTTATAATCATAATCGAATATGGGGTATTATTTATGTAATTTTATATATATACTATATTTAGTGTTGCCATTATTATATTTATATCCATAAAGAAAAAATAAAATATTAATTATTTAAGCCACATAATTGTCTTATGTGTAATTTAAAAAAGTTAAAATTAATTAAGAATAATAATTTCAATTTAATTTGTTATTATTTAAAAAACAAATGATTTAGCAACACTTACTACATACATTTTGTGCATATTTAATTTAATGTATTTTTATATTTATTATGTATATATTATTTGTAAAGAGGAAAAAATATTTATATATTTTAAAGTACACATCTATAACCAAGCCGAATCTGTACATTAAATATTTTTTGGAAAATCTTATTAAAGTAAACATTATTATCGATACAGAGGCCGAATCTATAGTTTTTAGAATTTTTGTCTGTCTGTCTGTCTGTTACCGCATCACAGAAAAACTAATGGAGGGATTTTGATAAATTTGATATAGTGATAGCGGGTTATCCGGGTCAACATATACGATACTTTTTACCGCGGGAAAATATCTCGATTCTGAACTTCAATGTAAGAGTATACTGATATGTAAAACCTAAGAATTTAGTGTTTGGTCATCTGAACGCGGGCTGAGCCGCGGGCAATGCTAGTTTACGTTAATAAAATGAATTGCTGGTATCTGTATATCTGTTGGTACCTGGTTATCACTTGTTTCACTTGCGGTTAAAGTATCTAAACGACAGAACGAGATAGGCTACTTGTTATTTAAAAAAAGAAAGGAAGAAGAAATTTTTTGAACTTTTAATTACCATCGAAACGATGATATCAGAATATGGCATGGACGTTTGAGCGCGAGAAATTAATTCACTGTTTTAAATATTTCTTTAAATTATAATTAAAACAGCTCCAAGCTTACAATGATAATGTATATAAATAATTAAAATTAAAAAAAAATACATGAATATTCTATTAATTTATTTTTAGGTGCAACAATAAGTGCAAAACCGCAAATAAGAAATCTGTCTGCGGATGTGACACGTTTCGTGCCATCAGCGCTCCGGGTGAAGAGAGAGGACAAGAGGGCGAAGCCCGACACAAGGAACACCATACAGCGGCCCAGTGAGGCGCCCCGTCACGCGCCTACTAAGGACGATGCGTACATGCAGTTCATGAAGGAGATGGAGGGGTTGTTGTAGTACCAGGCTAGCAGAATTTGTTAGGATGTTGTTTTAATATAGTGATTGACACTTGTGTTTTTTTTTCTAATTTTATCCTATAGTGCAAAGATGGCGAAAGCATACGACTTGTGTGACGCCAAGTACCGTGGTCTTTATAATAGAATTTTTTAAGATGTTGTTTTAATATAGTTATTGTTGTGTGTATTTTTTTGAAGTGAAAACTTCTATAGGCAGGTTTGGATGAGTAGTAATTTTTATGTAAGTCGTCATCTATATGGTCACGTGATCTGTTAACGCTAACACTCAGAGTGCCGATAGATGTCGAAACCAGATAAATGTAAACAGTTTTAATTTATAAATTTTAATTAAACGTCATACAATTAATTTAAATATCCAAAAATAACAACTGTTTGTTTATATATAGTTTTAAAGTTTTCACTTCTGTCGGCAGTCAGACTGATTTTTATATGTATTTTTACGGCTTGTGTGATGGCAAGTCCATGTTTTATATGCGTGTATAATAATATTAGGGGCGGCGTCTTATTTGAAGGGTAAGAAAGGAGTAGAGGAGTGTATTGAAGTGATGACTGTGCTCCGGCTTGTTGTAGTACCAGGCTAGCAGAATATGTTAAGATGTTTTTATATAGTGACACTTGTGTGTGTTTTATTACTTTTTCTTTTATTCTTTTTCTGTGGTGCAAAGGTGGCGCAAGCATACAGCTTGCGTGATGGCAGGTACCGAGGTTTATGTATTCAGCCCTTTTTAACGTCACACTGCTGGGCACGGGCCTCTCTTCACATCAAGGGGGATCAGGCTATAGTCCACCACGCTGGTTGGCGGACTTTACAAGTCTTTCGAAAACTTCTTAGGCTCTTTCAGACATGCAGGTTTTCTCACGATGTTTTCCTTCACCGTAAGGCAAATGGTAATCATGTAAGAAATGATTCGCAGATGAAAATACAGAGAGGCGAGACCCGGAATTTGAACCCATGATCATCATCATCACTCGGTTTTCCGAGCACGTTACCACTGGACTACCGCTGCCTTTTTTTAATCTTTTTTTTTAGAGGCAGCGTTTTATTTGAAGATTAAGGAAGGTTTAGGGTTCCGTTGGCACCCTTCGGGTATGGAACCCTAAAAATGATCGTAATCATTACCTCCTTTCAGTTTGCAGACTTTTTTAGTGAATTGATTGAATGGTTTTATTATTTAAAGGAAAGAGAAAGGTATACCTCACAAAAATCATAATATAAATATCCTAACATAAAGTTAAACGTGAAAGAAACAAAAGAACTTGCAAGATATGTACAGAGTGTATCTACTAGTATAACGACTTCATTGTAATTCATTCGAAGTTCCTTAAATAATTGCTCCTGTCATACACAATGTTCTGCAATAACTTTAAAATAAAACTTGAAGCCATTAAGAAAATTGAAAGAAAAATAGTTTTTTTTTGCTACTCAGTTGTGTTACTTAATTAGTTCTTATCCGCCATTTTTAAGAATAATTATAATTAAAGAGACACCAAGGACTAAAACATGTATAACTTTTGTTTAAGTTGTTAAGTTCAAGTTTAAAAAGCAATTTCACTAGAAGAAAACTTTACATGTCGTTCTGTTCAATTCAATTCTTTTATTTTGTGGCTTGTAGGAGTGCCAGTTGGGTGCACAATTTGCTTCGCCAATGTCATGTAGAAACGTCTCGTACTGTTAAAAAATGCATTCGTACTATTATAATATTATATATATTATCTATACTAATATTATAAAGAGATAAAGTTTGTGAGTTTGTGACGTTGTAGGGGGTAATCTCTCGATCAACTGAACCGGTTTAGATGAAATTTGGTAAGAAGATAGTTTGGGCCCCTAGGAAGGACATAGGATAGTTTTTATCCCGGAAATCATCCCTTAAGGGTTTAAAAATGGGAATGAAAGTTTGTATGGCGAATCAAGGTAGGGACGAACCCGAGCGAAGCGAGGGTGAGTCGCTAGTTTTTGGTGACTACATCGCACACTGCATTATTTAACTGCTTTGTGTTAAAACTCTCCGTATATCTTACTCTTTTAGTCTGAGTAGTCTGAGAATGAAATCAAACACAAGGGTATAAGATAAGTAATAAGATAAGTCGATTGTAGATATAATGATATAACTTGAGTTCCTCCTTGTTATCTTTGCGAATTTAATTAAAATTATATTTTTATATAATAGGTAGGTACAATTTAAGTTCCTGTAACAAAAAATATAGCAATAAAGATAATAATCATTAAATTGTTGTGCATCTTGAAGGCACATAGCTGTGACATAAAATCAGCATTAATGGAAAAGTCTTTTGTTTATTTTTATTTATTTTTAGATTGCGACTAGCTACCGCAGATAACTTTTCGTGAATGTCGTGATTCATTTTCTTTTCAACGGACTTTCTCAAAAATGAGGAGGTTCTCAATTTGGCTGTATGTTTTTTTTATGTTTGTTACCCCAGAACTCCGTCATTTATTAACCGATCTGGACAATTTTTGTTTTGTTTGAAAGTGTATACTTCCAGATTGGTCCCATTTAAATTTCAAAAAAAAATATTGATGAATTTAACCTACTTCTAATTGTCATTTTGACTTGAAACTTTGCAAGTGTTTCTATTTCCGTCGATAGTGCAGTGGTTCGGTATCGTTAACCTGATCTGATGGTAAGGCCAGAAGGTGGATAGGTGGAACTCTTCAACGCCTAATAGTAGATACTTAGAGTTTGGGCTTATTTCGTTTGATGTGACAAGCCTAACACTTTAGAATCGGATTTTATAGCCAGAATTTTTAGTTACTAATAAAAGCGAATTTTAGTTTGTAAGTCTTTGTATAAAAATTAGCATCAAAGTAACTTCAACGATTTAAGCGAATATTTTATTAAAATACTTTCTTCTTACTTTACTACTACTATACCTACACTAAAAAGGGAAAAATAAAAACTTTTTAACAAAAAAATAAAAACCGACTTCAAAAAAGACACTAAAAAGTTAAAAATAATTGATTACTTTATTTTTTAGTTTTATGAGTTTTTAACCGATTTCCAAAAAGGAGGAGATTCTATGTTCGTCCGTATGTATATTTTTTTGCTAGCCTTCGAAATCACACCGACTTCGAAAATATTTGATTAGGTATATATAATGAATGAAAACTACCAATCAGTTATTTTTTACTTTTTAGTGTTTTTATTGAAGTCGGATTTAATTTTTTTGTTAAAATTTTTTTATTTAATTATCACCTAAGTTATAAAATCAAATGATAATAATAATGTAAACTTCAAATTACATCTACTCGTGTTAATTGAGTGATTTAATTTTAAAAGGTACGTTTTAGCTAAAATACATGTAAAATGTCATTATGCATGTAATAAAGTAAAAGTGACTGATAGTGTTTAGCAGAGTTTTTAAACAAATGATTAAACAACAAAAATCATATAAATAGCGCTATCTATAAATATGCAGTACAAATTCATTATTTAGATGCTATTTTTATTATAAAGCTTGCGACTTCGTCCGAAGTTCCGAAGTATTTACGAATATTTGGCTACATACTTATTACGCGATAGCCGAAATATTCGCATTATCGCGATGTGTGCGCCCTAGGCATAAATGTAAGAGCGATTTTGAATACACTTAAATGCTTCTGAAGAAATGCAGATAATGACAGCATCTCAATTCTAGTAATATTAATAATAGGTAGGTATATATGTTGGGACATTAACACGCATCACCATCTAGTTCCACGCTAAGCTACGAGGCCTGTGTTATGGATAGTAGCAACTAGCAAATAGTTGATACACTACACGTATATAATTTTAAATATATAGCTATTATAAAATATATAAACACCTATGACTGGTATACGTACACAAATGAATGCCCCCAGCGGGACTTGAACCCGCAACAGCTGGTACTACAAACTGCGCCAGACATGTCGTCAAAGTAGATACATACACATGTACAGATAGACTATTACAAAATAATCTTATGCTATAAATATACTTTGTAAACACGTTTTGGAAACATGTATTAGAAATATGATAGTTAAGAATAGATTTAGCTAAAGTGGAAGAATTCTTTTTTTTTGCAGATATGACGCTTATGCGTTGTTATTACAAAAAGGTATGAGGCAAAAAGCTTTAAATTGAGCTGGGCTTAGGTGTTATTTATATTTTACTATATGTAACGTTTTAACGTTTAGTATAGATTTCTAAGAGATTAGATATTTTCCCGCAGTAAAAAGTATCCTATATGTTGACCCGGATAACCAGCTATCTTCATACAAAATTTCATCAAAATCCCTCCAGTGTTTTTCCGTGATGCCGTCACAGACAGATAGACAAACAGACAAAAATTCTAAATACTATAGATTCGGCTTCTGTATCGATAACAATTAATAATGTCTATTTCATTTTTGTAATCATAAATATCAACAAATCTGGCACACTTTCATACACTTTTGTAAAGGAAGGGAAAGAAGAGTGTTTTTTTGTACATTGAACGCAGGCGAAGCCGCGGGTTCTGCTAGTAACTTATATATTTTAAAGTAATTTTTTATAACAAATTGTTAAGTAAGTAAGACACCAAATGTATAAGTAGCCAAAACTTAAAAGCTATAAATAAAAAAATGAATTACAAAAATAAAAAAAATCTCGAATGAGTTAAAGTCGAACTACAAAGATGAACAAACAAACTACAAGAAGAAGAACAGGGCGAAGGAATATATTATTATTCAGAGGAAATAAGCTGTGGCAGACAGACATACAAGTTAGTTCGGGGTTCAATTTTATCCATACTGGTTCTGTACCATGTAGTAAAAAAGCTTTTTTTTAACGTTGGGAAATGCATTTACGCACGAGGTGTGGGAGTCACCGGCAAAGCCAGTACTACCCACTAAAACCCTACAACCCTTCCACCGTCTTAATGGGGCGTCGCAGGATCGCTTACGCATTCAACTACGACGCCCCGACGGTAGGTCTGCCGAGGCAGACTATAACGACC